TTACAATTTGCCACAAGTAACTTGGTCTCCAGGAGAGGATTATCTCGGACTTGTGCCGGGTAATGTCAGATCTGCAAAAAAAATCTTGCTGTGCGATACTTTCGCGTTCTTGGGCTTATCTCAATTTAATCGCATATCGAATGAAAATAACTCTATATTAGATCTTTGTTTTGCTAACTTTGACCTAAATTCAATCGATGAATGTGTTGGTTTGGTAAATTGTGATCGCTGTCATCCTGCTTTATTACTGTCAATTCAATTTAAGAAAACAAATTATTTAAAAACTGCTAATAACTTTTTTTACGACTTTAAGTCCGCTGATTTTGAGCTAATGAACAATTATTTTTTGTCCTATGATTGGTTGTCTATTTTAAACGATAATTTAGAGATTACCATAAGTAACTTTTACTCCGTTGCATTCAATTGTTTTGATTTGTTTGTGCCTGTTAAGCAATGTCGCTCCAACGACAGATTTCCTATCTGGTTTTCAAGTGAATTGAAATCCCTAATTTTTCAAAAAAAAGTAGCTCACAAAAGGTTCAAACAATCAAATTCAGTTATGGATTATAACTTATTTTCTCTGCTTCGCAGACAATGCTTATCCCTGTCCAAGGAATGCTACAGTCTTTACATAACTAACACTGAAGATTCAATCAAGGAGAATGCCGGGTACTTTTGGAACTTTGTTCGTTCGCAGTCAAATCAAGGCTCCATCCCTAGGGAAATGTTTTCTGGCTCAAATAAGGCTGATAATGGTTATAACATAGCCAATCTCTTTGCTGATTTCTTCTCATCAGTTTATAATCCTAAAACCATTTCTGATGCAAGTGTTTCTTCCGTTTCTTCAACACACACCTTTCAATCAATTTCTGACATTCAGATCACCGCATATGACATTGAAAAATCGCTCTCTGAACTCGACATAAATAAAAGAGAGGGACCTGATGGAATCCCAAACAGAGTGTTAAAACTTTGCTCCCATTCTCTGTATCTTCCCCTCTATTACATATTTTCCAAGTCTCTTATCTCTGGAGTGTTCCCAAAAGTCTGGAAATTGTCATATGTTTGTCCCATCCACAAATCAGGAAGCAGGAACAATGTGTCTAATTACAGACCAATTAGTATCTTCTCAGCAATACCCAAGCTATTTGAGCACTGTATAGAAAAAGTTTTGTCGGTTGCCTTCCATCAAATCATAGTAAATCAGCAACATGGATGCACATCCAGCCGCTCCGTTGATACCAACTTGTTTCTATTCACTAACTTTATCAATAGATCATTCGAGAACGGTTGTGAGATACATACTATATATACTGACTTTAGTAAGGCCTTTGATAAGGTCAATCATGCTCTTCTACTCTCAAAGTTGTCCGGTTATGGCATTGCTACTTTGATTTCTTGGTTGGAGTCTTATTTGTCAGGTAGGATTCAGCAGGTGAGAATTGATGGTTATCTCTCGGATGAGTTCGATGTCACATCTGGGGTTGCTCAGGGATCTCATTTGGGACCTTTCTTGTTCAGTTTATTCATCAATGACCTGGGCCATCTACTTTCCTCCAATTTTCTGATGTTTGCGGATGATCTAAAGATATTTCGGGAAGTATCATCAACTCGTGATATTCTTCTTCTGCAAAATGATCTGGACATTGTTTACGATTGGTGTAACCTAAACGACATGTCACTTAATATCGACAAATGCTGCTTTATGCGCTTCACCCGCTTGATGAATACTATACATGTGGAATATTCCATTAATCACGTTGCTCTTGCTGAGGTGTTTGTTGTTAAGGACCTTGGCGTTTACTTGGACCCTAAACTTACGTTCATCGAGCACTTTGAGTTTATAATAGGTAGGGCTAATAGAATATTAGGTTTTATCAAAAGAACCAGTAAAGACTTTAGGAGTGTGTTTGCTCTGAAGGTGTTGTATACGTCGCTGGTTCGATCCATCCTTGAATTTTCAAACATAATTTGGTCGCCATATTATCAAGTTCATATAAATAGATTTGAAAATGTTCAACTTAAATTTATAAAATATGCTAAATATAAACTTTTTTGCAATGGTATTGAACTTGATAATGATCAGACTATGTTATACCTAGACTTAGCATCTCTTGTTCGCAGAAGAGAATACTATGACATATGCTTTGCATTTAATGTTCTAAACTACTATATCAAGAGTCCAGAATGTTTCGAAACTTTTCGATTTCGTATACCTGGATATCCAACACGTAGGCAGACCTTGATGCATATGCCAATTTGTAATTCTTGGTACTTATTGTATAGTCCTGTTAACAGAGTATCAGCGAATGTGAATAAGTTTTGTGAGTCATTAGAATTCTTTAATGTTTCCCATAAAAAATTTAAGAGTTGTGCAAAAAGAGCTGTTTTAGGTTAGTTAGTTTAAGTTCACTTGTAAACCTGTAAATGTTGATACGTTAATAAATAAATAAATAAATAAATAAATGCCGAGAGTGAGTAATTTTTTTTTTTTAAATCATTGAGATGCGATAAACGTCTACTTTGTTATACGTTCAATAATGTCATTTTTAAACGTCAAAATGGGATAATAGTCCTATACACCAACGCCAAGTGAGTTAAATAAAGTTCTATTCATGGGAAGAAAGTTTAACCCACGATCCCTAGCGAGTGGGTTAATTTTCTTCGAATGAATAAACTTAAACATTTTAACTCACGTGATATATACAAAATTTTAACCCATTTTGTGGAAATTTAAAAAATAAAGTACAAGGAAAAATGCTGAGAGTGAGTTAGAAATATTTTAAATCACTGAGGTGTCAGAAGTTTAGTTGGGCAGAGTGACTTAAAATGCCTAGAATGTGTTAAAAAAAAATTTAATCACTGAGGCGCTAAAATTTTTACTTACCTTAATTGTTTTCCGTTCAATAACAGGCGCGGATCTAGAGGGGCCATGGTCCCCTCTAGTCTAGATAAAAAAAACTAATTTTGAAAATCAACATTAAATCGACTAATTTTTCCAGGTTTATCACGAACCTCTAGCCTATTCTATTTGTATATACAGGGTGATATTCCATAAATGTCACCCCCTGCTAACTTTTCCATTTGACGTTTTTGACAGAAGTGTCAAATACAAAAGTTTTAAGAAATAGTCGAAAGTTTTTAACTAAGTCAGTTTTAGCCATACAGGGTACGCAAAAAAGTGCAGCAGTGTGAAGTTATATTTTTTTAAATGGAACACTCTGGTATATTGTGCGCTAATTTGTTAGTCCCCTTCAACCTGATTTCAACGATATATGGTTTGATATGTTTATCTCCAATAATTATAGGGAAAAACGCGAAAATCCCTTCAGGTCTCTCATGTTATTTAAAAAAAATAATAATAATAATAATTTAGACATCTGAATTTATTATAATATTTCACCTTGTATTTTAATGAATAAAATTTAGGCAATAAACTGTTTTTAAAAAAAAATCTCTAAAGTTTATGCTATAATATTTTTTTTTTTTAAATATGAAACCTTAAAATGGGTTTTGATGTTTTTCTCTATAACTATTGAAGATAGACATATCAAATCGTATATCGTTAAAATAAGGTTGAAAGGGACTAACAAATAAGCGCACAATATACAGGGTGTTCCGTTTGAAAAAATATAACTTCACACTGCTGTACTTCTTTGACACACCCTGTATGCCTAAAACTGACTTAGTTCAAAACTTGCGACAATTTCTTGAAACTTTTGTATTTGACACTTTTGTCAAAAATGTCAAATGAAAAAGTTAGAAGGGGGTGACATTTATAATAGATCACCCATTTTCAGGAAAACCACAAAAGATATCAAACTATAAAATTTCAAGGTTCATTTCTATGGTGTGGTATTCTAAATAATGAAATTATTGGCCCTTTTTTTTAATGATCCATTAACTAGTCGATGGTAAAATTAGCGGAAGCGGGACAATTCTTTTTTTTAGGATCACATTAAAAGCCTTAATTTAGGAATCTTCTAGCTAAGGAGAAACACCCTAGGGCTAATTTCATCTATAGTCTGATTTTTCAGCAAATGTTGACAACAAAACTATCAATATTTTATGTCGTGGTTATTTTGGTCTTTTAAAGCTAGTGATTGTTATGAGGATGTTCTAAACCTAAAGCTAGTTACAAAAGAATCTCGTAGCAGTTTCTTGCCTTCCGTTCCAAAATTTTATATGCTAAAATTGTACATTATTTCAGTTTCACGTCTCAAAAGCAATAGAAATTGCCTAAAGACGCTCTTCTAGCCCTTTAGTAAGCCAAAAAGATCCGCATAAGAAGTTCAAGCCTTCATAATATTGTATGTATAAAAATAATTATAACTAAGATTATAACCAAATTAAAAAATAACAAATCCGAAATGTATGCAAATAGGTAGGTAGGTACCTACGCACCTCACAAAAAAATGGTAAAAAATAATCTCTGAAGGAGAAACGTGATACATTCTGCTGTCAAAGCAATAACTATTAATATTTATTTATTTTGTGTCTGTACCTTTAAGTGCTGCTTAAGTTGTAAGTAATTTTGCTTTTTTGAAAATAGAATATCTACTAATTAAGTCAATTGTTTCAAATTTACTTTAACATATACCTATATGTTTAAAAATTTAAAATATTGTCTGGTTTTCACAAAACAAAGTCGCTCTCCTAGCTATACTTATAAGCCCTTTATATAATGACTTAAACATTTTAATAATCATTGATTGTCATAAATTCTAGAGCAAGGCTTAATTATTGATAGCAGCATAGCGATGTTTTATAAATTTAGATACACAGTTTTATCCATTTTATGCTTTTTTGTCGTTTCGTTTATTTCAAAATTATTTGAAAAATAATTTTTTTCCATTTGTGGTTATATAAATTGATATCTACTTCGACTTTTTAGGCTTGGGGTCTACTTCTATATATGTACATTTTGATAACCTGGAAAAATCCTATTCAATTCTCTATCAGTCAGTCTTTAAAACTCTATTAGTAAAGTTGAAAACATCATGGACTTACCCAGCGATCTTCAGCGTTGGATCCAGCTTGCTTGTAGAGAATTTGGTGTTGAAAAGATCCAACAAGTAATGCAACCAGAATATTATAAAGAAAATCCAACAGAGTTTGTTGAATTAAGGGCTTTGAAAAGTTATTCGCAAATTAATGAGGAATTTGGCTCGAGTTACCGGAGTTACCCGCTTCCTTTGGACTCTAGCGATCTGCTTCCAGTTGGTACTATCAGTTGTGTTCGACCAATTGCTCAATATTGTAATCAAGCAGTATCAGGTACTAGTTACAAATTGCAAGCTAATCCTTACTCGTACGAAAAACGACTACAAGCTCAAAGTAACCACCAATATGTTCCAGGAGACGCAGCCATGAATGATAGACCAATAAACCAGCATTGTGATTTGAACACTTCACAGATTGTTCGTTCTAGCAGTAATATATCACAAACTGTAAGTTCTCAATCAATCCATGGAGGAACTTATAATCAAGTCTCAGAAGGGCCATTGTTAACAGAAAACAGTATGCTAAGGGTACCAGTACCAGGAAATTCCTGTGCTACCATGTCAGTTGTGCAAAATTCTACGAGGACGCGTCATTATTGCCCATTCTGCAAAAAGGAGTTTCCCCAGCGAAGAGCCTTAATCGAACATAATAGTACATTTTCGCACCAGAATAATGTTGAAAAAAGCGCAGGAGCTCCAGGCTCTAGCTCTCATTGCAAAATTTGCGACAGAATTTTTACATCAAGGGGTTACTTGATTCAACACATTAACGCACATCATAGTAACAAAGCCTTCAAATGTAGAAAATGTGGGAAGCGGTTTTTTACTAAAGAAGATTTAGATACACACGCTGAGAAGCATTACGATAGTAAAAAAAGATTGATGTGTCAATATTGTCCTAAAACGTTCAATTATACTTCGGATTTGTCTCGCCACCAGTCTTTGCATACAGGTAGAGGTTTGTTGAAGTGTTCTTGTGGGAAATTGTTTGTCAGAAGAGACCATATGGCTAGGCATGCTCTGCACTGTTTAGGCAAATGATTAGAACTTTTGTTAATTTGTATTTTTCAATTATTTTTCATAAATGAATTTAATGGGTCTTATGTGAATAGATGTATATATTTTTATTTTTTTAGTAACAATTTTTTTTTTGTAATGGTCATGAACAGTGTTAGGACTGTCTATTTGAAATAAATAAATACTTTTAGATAAATTTATTATTTCATTTCATATTTACCAAAGAAACCTCCAAGTACCAAGTTTACAGATAAATGTTTTAACTTTTTTATAATTTAAATTGGCTGTTTTTTATAAACCTAATGATAAATTAGGTAATATGACAAACCATTTTTTATCTCGCCAGATTTTAGACCTGCAATCATTTACTAATAAAAGAACGAGGCCATAATTTGAACATTTTACAGAAAAAAAACTTTATATTTATAAATGGGACACTTTTGTACTTTATTTGAATTTTAGATTCTACGTCAAATTCAGAGACCAATCTACAGTTTATTTTTTTTCAAGATAGATTTTGGCATTGTCAACTTTGAAACATAAACAATGTCGTTAATGCCGCTTATTGGTCGCCATTGTAAAACTAATGTCAACCTGCAGGAACACCTCATTTTGCGACCAATCAGGGTCAAGCGTTATTGTTTATGTTTCAAAGTTTTTGTTACGTTTTGTAATAAAAGATGATTGATTAACTGATTGATAAGATTTATTTTGTTTAATATGAAATTCTTTGGTTTAAAGGGAGGCACGCGAACAGGAACATCTAAATCTAAAGACTCGTAATTACCGACTGATTAGTTCAGTCTCAGGCCGCGCTTGTGCGCTTCTAAGCAGTGTTGCCACTCAATGACACCCCCACACCTAATCAAAGACCTCCAGTCTGTACTAGAGCTCCCACATTTACAATCATTTGAGAATGAAATTACTGTAGGTGTTGAGGTGCGTTTAAAACCCTATTTCTAGATTCAAAATAGTTTAACATAATCACAATACATATACGCGCCCCCTTTACACTTGATTTACATACATGTCACATACATTTTCTTTTTAAACATTTGTTACATAATATAAGTACTTTTACATTACTATAAATAATAAATACACAATTTTCCAGTCTCCAGCGAAACCAGGCGTCAGAAAATACAAAATCAATTTTACATTTCTAAAATCTTGTCATTTGGAAAGTTTTGTTACTTCTTTGTCACTCTTTTTCAGAGGTTGTCGATTTCCTTTCCAGAAAGATATTCTGCTAAATGTGGAGGTTGTTTGATAATCCTTCCACTGCGTCTGACCACAGCTTGGCTGTCAATGGCCTGCTTTTTAGGGCTGTGTGTTGCCTGCTTTCACCTGGTGACTGGTGAGGTAGGTTAGAGCCACTTGAATTTGAACCTGCTGAAACAGAACTAGAATTAGAAAACTCGTCAAAACTCTCATCACCTCTGTCACTAGACATGTTATGTTCTTGGTTACTTTCTGAAATGTTAGGATTAAAGTTATTTTGAGAATGTGGAGAGTTGTTACAAGGTGCTGAATTATGGGTGACTACCGCAGACTCTCCTGCCTCCTCCAAATTTGAGGTACGTGAGGAAGGCTTTTCTTTCCCAATTTCAATATGTGAGTAATTGTCATCTTCTGTGTGATTTTCCAGCAAGTCAAGGTCTTGAGTTTGCTGAATTATTTGGTTTAGGTGTCGTTTCCATCGCTTTCCATTGCTTGTCTTGCACAAATATATTGTTCTTCCAATTCTCTTCTCTATAGTTGCTTGAGTCCATTGTTTTTTATTTGGTAGTGTGTAATCTCTCACCATTACAGTATTGCCCTTTTCATATTCTCTATACTTCCTGTCGCTTGGATCCCTTGATTCCATTGCTTCTTTTGGTTGTTCTGTTAGCAATGTTAGTTTTGTTCTTAACCTTTTGTTGAAAATTGCTTCTGCTGGGGATCTTCCTGTTGTTGCATGAGGAGTATTTCTGTAAGTTAATAAGAATCTTGATATTAGAGTTGTTAAAGATACATTGTTGTTCTTTGGATCTTGCAATGCAGCGTTTATCTTGGCTTTGAAGTGTTTGACACTGTTTTCGGCTGCTCCATTGCTCATCGGATGAAAAGGTGGACTTGTCATTTGTTGTATTCCATTTTTCTGGAAGAATTCTTTTACGATTTTGGAAGTAAAAGGTGGTCCATTGTCACTGACCACAAGCTTTGGTAACCCAAACCTTGCGAAGACTTCCCTCAGCTTGTCTGTAGTTGCTATGGCATTCGTCGACCCCATTATGAAGATTTCCACCCATTTGGAAAAGGAATCAATCAACACCAAGCATTCTTTGTTTTTTACCAGGCAAAAATCAATATGAATCCGTTGAAAAACTTCTGATGTGTTTGGCCATTTAGTGTCTGTTATTTTTGGTGGGTTTTGTCTTGTCTTTAAACAGGGAATACAGCTTTTTATCAATTTTTCTATATCACTGTCAATTCCTGGCCAAAATACCAACGATCTTGCCAATGTTTTGCATCGACCAATGCCTGGATGGTCTGAGTGAAGTAGATCTAAAACTTTTTTTCTCAGACTTGTCGGTACAACTACTCTATGCCCCCACATCAAAATTTCATGATCAATACACAATTATGACCTTTTCATGAAGTATGATTTCAGATTTTCATTAACTTTGTCTGGCCATTTATTATTTACCACATAGCTTACTACTTCTGCTAACTCTGGGTCTTCTATGGTTGCCTTTCTCACTGCTTTATTATCTATTGGCCATTGATCCACTGATTCGGTGAAATGGATATACGTTGCTCTGCCAGCAGCTTCCTCTGATGTCACTGTGGTCTTTAAAGGTGCTCTGGACATGTAGTCTGCCAGAACATTGTTTGTGCCCTTGATGTACTCCAAGCTGTAATCAAAAGAGGATAAAAATATTGCCCAACGCGTCAGTTTATTTGCTGACATCTGCGGAATCCCTCTGTGCTCCCCAAAAATAGCAAGCAGGGGTTTGTGATCACTTTTTAAAATGAAATGATTCCCACAGAGATAATAATAGAATTTATTTACAGTTTAATATATTGCTAGAGCTTCTTTCATGATTGTACTCATCTTCTTTTCGCATGGCTGAAGTGTACGGGACACACAAGCAACAGTGCGCTCCTCTCCATTCAAAACATGACTTAGAGTACCAGCAATTCCATTATTGCTTGCATCAGCAGTGACTACAATTGGCAAGCTAGGATCAAAATGAACTATGCACTTGTCTGAAGCTATGATCTCTTTTACTTTTACAAAAGCCTGCTGGCATTTCTGAGACCAAAAAAATTTCTGATTTGTTTTCAAAAGCTCATAGATTGGAGATAAAATTTCAGCTGCACTTGGGATGAATTTGTGGTAATAATTGACAATTCCTATAAAAGATCTTACCTCACTTACGTTCGTGGGCTGGGGTGCATCTATTATAGCCTTTACCTTTTCTTTGGTCTTCTTAAGCCCATTCTTTGTCAATGTAAATCCCAAATAATCGACTTCATCTTGAAAGAATTAACTTTTTTCCTTCTTTACTGTTAGATTGGCTCGCTTTAATTTCTCCAAAACTTTGTGCAGATTTTCCAAATGTTCAGCTGTTGTCCGTCCAGAAACCACTATGTCGTCAACAAAAACTGACACAAATTCCATGTCCTTGAACAGGTTTTCCATCTTTCTCTGAAAAATACTTGTTGAACATGTTAAACCAAATGGCATTTTCAAAACTTTATAGAGACCACGCTCAGTGTTCCAGGTTAAAATTTTACTTGATTCATCATTTACAGAAAATTGCATATAGGCCATTCTTAGGTCTATTTTTGAAAATTTCTCACCCTTACTCAATCTATCAAAAATTTCCTCAATTCTGGGCAGGGGATATTTAACATCTTGCAGAAACTTGTTCACTGTAACCTTATAATCAGCACATAGACGCAATTGGCCATTGCTCTTTAATACAGGAACCAAAGGAGTTGCCCATTCACTGTTGTCAACCCTTTGAATCACTCCCTCCTGCTCCAGTTTATCTAATTCTTCAAAAACTTTATTTTTATAAGCAAAAGGAACATTTCTATGCCTCATAAAGACTGGCACAGCTTCCTTTTTCAACTTAATGCTTACAACAGAGTGAGAAAATGTACCTACTTTATCATTGAAGACTTCTGGATACCTCTCAATGATTTGTGACACTTCATTTTCCTGCGATATCTGCTTAATCAGCTCAATCCTCACGTTAAAAGTTTCCATCCAATCTCGACCAAGAATGTCCGCGGCAGCACCCTGGACCACATAGAATTTTACTGGCTTAGTGACCTTACGATACTCCACATTCAACATAACATAATCATCTGGTCTAAATGAACCTCCATCATAGGCTCTGAGGAGAGTTTGATCTGTCTTCAACCTAAAACTAGAAAAATGTTTTAAATATGTTTCTTTACTAAGTGCACTAAGTCCTGCACCACTATCAATAAAAATCTTCAAAGGTTTTTTATTTATTTCAACAACAATATAAAAAGGATTTCCTACAAAGGCTCTATCCACCCCAAAAACACTTACAACATTTGATGAGTCGGTAATACTATCACAATAAAATATGTCATCATCCTGTTCCAGTTCCTGATCTACAAAATTCAAATTATTTCGCCTACATGCCCTTGATAAATGCCCAATTTTGCCACAAGTATGGCATTTTGCATTTTTATAAAAACAATTTAAGCTAGGATGATTGGAAAAACAATGTTTACATTTTTGCAAATCACGATTATTAAAATTTGGATTGACATTTCCCTCTCTACTAGTACTTATCTTTTTTGACATTTGGCTGAAGGTTGCATATGGTCGGCCATGGTTGCGCTGTTGCTGTTGCGGCTGAGTCCAACCACCTGATTGATGACGAGCATTTGGTTGACCTCTAGGTTCTTGGCTGTTGCTACTGTTGCTGTTGCTTGTTTGAAATCGCCTCGTCGCTGACGTCAGGTTGCGTTCTGGTTTTCTGCTTCGATCATGA